CAATGTCCACAGTGAAATTTCAACAACAAAGGCTAATTTAGTTGATAAGAAGGTTTATGCTGCCTTAAATCGTATAATGTTTTATGGCATGTCTTTACTGTCCGTCGTGTTAACATGTAACCGTATGGGGCCAGCTGCCAAGTGGTAAGCTTGTAGTTTTTGCCTGGCGTTAATTAAGTTTACGATGGTGGCAAGCTCTATTTCAGCTCTGTAGGGCGTTGCCGTAGGTAATAGTGAATGCAAGTGCTTGCCTATTCTGTCTTGGCAAAATAGTTTTGCTATCCACTAGATGGAGCTTCCATCTTTAAAATGCTGAAGAAACTTAAACGTACGAGGGGTGAGCGCGCCAGTCCCTCCGCTGGCAACTTTCATAACGATCGCCAACGAACATTTCCTTTGAGAAGGTTCCTGAATAACCACTCTGTAACCTATCCACTGTTTCCCGGCGTGTAATGTGAACACATTTGGAAGACTTAACTAGGGTTTTACTAGAATCCCACCACGGCCCCAGCGCAGCAGACGTCCCGGCAGCTAGACGTCTAGACGTGAGCGCTGTCGCTATTCCGAGGCACTTGTTATATGTTATTACTGGATACTACTATCGTATAATAACAATACCCTTTTCAAGTGCTATCATTTGCTTGAGGACGGTTGTTCTTGATAAGCCAACAGAGATTGCATGGATTATGGAGATATGATTCGAGCCTCGAGCACTGAGGTGCCCTAACCAAAAACGGCGGGAAAAGATCCGCCAGACACGGTGATGGTGGGCGCTGACGGTATCATGCAGTGTTGGCATTCAATGCCCACGACTTGTGGCAACTTAAGTCTTGATCCCCGTCACCAGTCATGCGAAGCTAGTTTCTAGTAAGTTTAATGTATAGACACGAATGTGAATGCTTAAATTTGACTAAAACGTCAGCGAATTTTCGTCAGATGGTAAAATTGTGAAACTTTTTGTATGGCCATTTGTTTTACATTAAACAGTAACGAATCAACGAGGACTCCAAACTACTCGTACAAATTCTTACCTGATAGAGATGTTTCTCAACTAGTCTAAAAAATGCAAAAATATGCTCAGACCGACTTTGAAATACATGTTCGAGACATATTGCTTGCTATGCATGTAATGTCACGAAGTGTATGCACATTGAACATTGTGCTTCACATATGAACAATATATTGTAAAATAGGAAGATAAATGCAGGCATATTTGAAGCAATAAAGTGAGACAGAATTACTTATATTTTGTGAAAAGTGGAGAAATATTATTTTATTTTTTACAATTTACGGTGATATGACGTAATCACTTTAAAGTGCTCAGGACCGATTGATTTCATTTTATGTTTCACTTTTTAGGTTTTAAGTATTTTTTTATCATGCAGTGCTGCTTTTCTGCTGTGCACACAAGTATGCTTTAAGCCATTGGTCAGTGTAAAATTTATTTCTGTAACTAACAGAAAGGAGAATCTACGATACACAATTTAGACATACATTATTTATACATTTGTTCAAAACCCATCAAACCAATGTCGCTTGCCTCTGATTCGAATTGATGTATTCCTGATATGTCCATATACATGTTCCACGGCTATAGTTTCTGGAGAAGAAAGTATGGATTTCCTGGGTCTTCCACTATCACCACTCCGAACAGGTATTACAAATAAACTATTAGTAAAAATCAAAGCACCCAAGACACTAAGTAAGAATCTAAGTTAGTTTGAACACCTCAGTTCTATGCATCTGCTCATGATATCACGATACAGTATCATTTACGGCACCAATTTCGCAAATAGATGGGGAAAATACGTGATCGGTTAGATTTTTCACCTAGAGCATTGCTCTCTGCTAAACTCCAGATTCTAGATTCTAGATTTATAGATACTTGCTACCTTGTTGAATGTTGCACGGCTCACGTTAGAATACTTGAACATCATGCATGACAGATCAGAACATCTAGCCAAATTTGGAAAAGATTTTTAGAAAACCCGCCGCATTTAGAACGCCTGTTTACCAAATTCGCAGATTCGCCTAAGCAGACGACAACGTCAGGAATGCAAAGCCTCTTCAACTTTGGTAGCATGTTCGGCGGGGGCTTACCGCCGCCGCCGCCGCCGCCTCAGCCACCGGTCACTGAGAAGACGGAGTCACAAGTGGATTCCGCGCTCGATCTATTCGGTGGCCTGCCAGGTCCGTTCGCAGGGCTTCCAGGCGACACACAGAGTGGCGGTGGGATGGATTTTTTCCCGGGCATGTCGAGCGACGATGGCCCACCGGCGATCGTGGGCGCGGAGGAGGAGGTGCAGGAGGCAGAGGCTGAGTACGATGTAGAAAAGGAAGCCACAAAGCCGACTGACGCGGCGTCCGACTTTCTAGGTTTGGCGAGCATCACATTGTTTAGTGTACTGACATAGATCACTGACACAGACTATTGTTATAGTCCAGTGACATGCACATTTGATACAGAATATTGACACAGAGTCATTTACACAGACTATTGACGTAGACTTTTGTTATTGACACAGACTCTTGACACAGAATATTTACACAAACTGCTTACGTAGACCGTTGACACAAACTATTGGGACACGCTAGTGACACAGTTGATACAATGATTTTTGATACACACTATTGACACGGAAACATTGACACGTGTCTGTCTGATCCCTGCTATTGTTCTTTGCAATCTGAGACACATATCATCTCGACATCTTCCCTTGCTATACTTCTCTTACTATACCTTACTATACCTTACTATACTTCCCTTACTATACCTTACTATACTTTCCTTACTATACCTTACTATACTTCTTGTATGTGAACACATTTGGGACTAACAGGGTTTACTAGAATCCCACCACTCCACCACAGAGTCACCGCAGTAGACGTTAGATGAGCGCTGTCGCTCCGCGGCACTTGTTATATTGTTATTACTATTAGTATTATTTATAATACAATACCTTTTCAGTGCTACTCATTTCTTGAGGACGGTTGTTCTGATAAGCAACAGAGATCCATGGGATGTATGGGAGATATGATTTCGAGCGCTCGAGCACTGAGGTGCCCTACCAAGATCGGAGACACAGTGATGGTGGGCGGTGACGTCATGCAGTGTTGCAATGCCACGAACTTCTGCAACTTAAGTCTTGATCCCTCACCAGTCTGCGAAGCTAGTTCTAGTAAGTTATGTTAGACACGAATGTGAATGCTTAAATTGACTACGTCACGAATTTTCTATGGTAAAATTTGTAAAATTTTTGTTGCCATTTTTTACATTAAAAGTAACAACTAATGGGACTAAACGTATCGTCAAATTCTTACCTGATAAGATTGTTTCTCAACTAGTTAAAAATCGCAAATACCTGGACGATTTGAAATAATGTTCCAGACATTAATTGCTATGGGCTATGTATGAGTCACGAGTGTATGCACATTGAACATTGTGTTCACATTGAACAATATAGTAAAATAGGAAGTATAATGCAGCAATTTAACCATAAAAAGTGAACAGAATTACTTATATTTTGTGAAAAAGTGGAAATATTTTTTTTATTTTTACAATTTACGGTGACGTAATCACTTTAAAGTGCTCACGAGACCGATTTATTTTATTTATGTTTCTACTTTTTAGTTTTAAGTTATTTTTTTATCATGCAGTGCTGCTTTTCTGCTGTGCACACAAGTATGCTTTAAGCCATTGGTCAGTGTAAAATTTATTTCTGTAACTAACAGAAAGGAGAATCTACG